ATTGTGACCTCCTGTGCTTGAAATAAGTTGCAGATTCTTGTTGCTTTGATGGATCTGGATGTATATGCATGCCTAATATCACAACTCTTCAAAATACAACTTGGTCACATAGCCATCCTTACCTTAGAGTTAGAAACATTGCAGGCAACTTTCAGCCAGCATGATAACATCCTCCTCTGGTCTGGGTACAGCGAGAAAGATTAGTGAAAGTGTCAGACAATTGATGCAGTTTTAGTATATTGATTCAGTTTCTACCGTTTCAATACATCCCAGGGCTACTCCCCCCCTAAAATTAACAACATCATTGTATCACTGGAGCCACGACATAGTTAGATTAGCCTTTGTACACAAGGAATTTGTAAGAATGACTGTAAAGTGTTCATGGTTGAATGCATGCTTCAATATCTGCTAATCTAGTAATTCCCTGATAATCAAACATTGCATATTGAAATGTTTCTTCTGCAACAGTCAGTCATGCTGCCTTGACATCTTGAGTAGGTAAAAGTATATACATACTTTTACCTACTTATGTTAGACTGTTACCTACTCACACGTGACCTGTTAGACTGTTACCTACCTATGTGGCCTAATCTGATTTTTTGGCCACATTCGAGTGCGGCTAATTTTTATTTTTTGGCCGCACAGATGCGCACATGACCGAAACTTCTGGGCAGCCATTTTTTATTTTTAGGCCTCATTTTGGTTCGATTTATTTTTTGGCCGCCTAGATGGAATCACGAAATTTGTATGCGGCCAATTTTTGATTTCTGGCCACGTAAAAAATAGTATCCATATGGATCCTGACAATGCATTCACTTATATGACGTCATTCGAGTGCGGTCTATTTTGCGTTTTTGGCTACATTCGAACTTTTATATACCTCGTGCCAATTGTGTGGGCTATGCCAGAACTGGATGCAAAGCATCCTAGATTACAAATGCGTATTGATATAATTTTTCATAAAATAGACTATTTCATAACCAAATTGAGCATTGATCGAGTAGTCTAATAAATTACTACAAAAACGTATAAATAGAACCTCTATCCCCCCACTTTGGACCAAAAAACCAATTCGTAAAAAATACACATTTCTTATATCGCTATAAACAATGCATTTCCTAGACGAACTGCCAACTTTTTCGATTGCGAGGATGAGGCACGAAGTGCCGAATTGATACTCCACTTGGTGATACGTAAAAGCACAATTTTTCTTACTACTTCCTTATATTATTCTACCTTTGCGTATCACCTTTTTTCTTTGAATTTTTCTTGGTGATACACAAAAGCACAATTTTCTCTTACCTCTTCCTTATATTATTCTACCTTTGCGTATCACTGATCGAAAATTTGGATCATACTTTTACGATCATACTTTTACGTATTACTGGATCGAAAATTTTGTTTACTTTTATGTATCACCATATCAAAATTTTAAATCTTACTTTTGCGTATCACCATATAAAAAATAATGATTGCACTTTGATGTATTACTAGATCGAAAATTTGGATCATACTTTTATGTATTACTTTAGATCATACCTTTGCGTATTACTGGATCAAAAAATTTGTTTGCTTTTGCGTATCACTTTTACGTATTACTTTGGATTATACTTTTACGTATTATTGGATTAAAAAATTGGATTGAAAATTTTAATCTTACTTTTGCGTATCACCGTATCAAAAAATTGGATACGTTTACATCTGTATTAGTACATTAAAAATTGGATCATACTTTGAAATTTTTATTGCACTTTTACGTATCACTATAAAATTGGATACGCTACATCAAAGATCGAATTATACTTTTGCGTATCACTTTTCCGTATCAAAAAATTGGATCGCACTTTGACGTATTACTTTGGATCAAAAAATCGGATCATACTTTTACGTATCAAAAAATTGGATACCTTTACGTATTACTGGATCGAAAATTTTGATCTTACCTTTGCGTATTACTTTTACGTATTACCATATCAAAAGAATTTTTACTTTGACCAGAATCATGCGTCACAAAAATCCCCTTTATATAATCTAGATATCAAAGTATTAATTTTTTATTTGAATTTTTTCAAGCTAGGACGGATTTTTATAAATGTTCGGAAATATAGTCTATTCGGGCTCTTTTACCTCGGGTCCACTTTGGGAGAGCTTTTCAAGCTTTTTCCGGTAGTATTCCACTATTCTTCGATGTTTAGCATGTAAAATACATAACTTATATTTAGATCCAGTTAGCCTACCACACTCTTCGCAAGGTACAGGTCTAGGAGAATCCCAATGATCTTCACAACCCTCTGGACGATAACTTCCCCGGTTACATTCCTCACCAGTTCGAAGGATATAACGACAACGATAAAATCCCATATTTCGCTTTGTTAAATCTAAATTATCTGGAATTTCTATATTTTCTTGTTCCTCTTCACTTTCTTGCGAGCCAAATAAACCTACATCATCACTGCTTCTTTGTCTTTTTCCAGTTAATTTTACGCTTATCATCGCTAATATTTTAAATTAAAGCTATTATTCAATACTAATTTTAAAATATAGCGCATTTAAAAAATGGATCATCGAAAATTTTTTACTTTGGTATATCACTTTGGATCAAAAAATTGGATCATACTTTTACGTACTACCGATTCGAAATTTTATTCTTACTTTTGTGTACTACTGAAAAATTGGATCATACTTTGACGTATTACCTTGGCGTATTATGTGTTGAGTCGAAATACCTTTGCATATATCAATAAATATATCGCCTACCTGAAATTTTACTTCGATCAGAACTATTTTCGGATTTGGACTTCGTAGATTTTTCTTTATTCCAAATAATAAGCTTATGCACAAACCGTATAATTAGTATTGCTATTATTATAAGAATAACAAGCTTAACAATGGGAGGGATTCGATACTTATCATTAACCAAGGTTTCACATACCCCTAATGCCCCAATAGGTAATATCTCGGCCATTTTTGTTTTAGTCGCATAACTTTGATCATTTCCAATGAAATCAGTTTTAGAGATGACTTCTTCTGAAAAATCTTTAGTCTCTACTATTTGTGAAATATCAGCGTTACTGGTAGAAGACTTCATATTAATTGATCTCGAAGAATCGAGTATTTGAGGCTTTGTCTCATCATTAACCTTATTTACGGTATCACTGGATTGGGGTATATCGATTTCTTCTATCTGGTCCATACTTTTTTTGCGTAAATATTTACTAAAATTCATTATAGGTTTATTAACTGCAAAGGTATCAGCGAAATTTGGTACATTTTTTTTATCTGTCTCACCACCGATCTTGATTGATCCTGATGATAACTTGGATTCTAAAGAGTGTATTACCGACTCTTTTGACGCCAGTTCAACCTCCAATTTAGATAATTTAGTCTTGAGGTTCTCGAACTCGGATTCTTTTGTGGACAGTAGACCCTCCACCTCAGATAATTTGGTATTGAGAGTCTCAATCTCGGATACTTTCAGAAACGAGTTTTCTTGGGCCGATTCCAACTTCTTTTTTAGAGACTTTATCGTAGATTTGAGCGATGTTACTTCTTTCGATTTTATCTGTAATTTGTTGCTATAATCGACAAGAGATTCCTGATTGCGACCATCCCGAGATATAAGTGTAATATTTTCTATCTTTAATCGTTTAGCTTCATTAATAATTTCCAGATTGTGAGCACACTGTTTCTGATTTTCGTCATTGACTAGCTTTATACCACGACCCCACTGTTTTTTTTCCTTATCCCATTGCTTTCTTTCCTGATTAGAGTCCTTCGTCTGTTTTACGCATTTACTTTGCAATTGTTCATTGCAGTCATTTAACTCGGATATAGACCTTATGGTGAGATCTAAAGATTTCTCAAGTTCTTGTTCACGTATACTGCCAAGCCGATGTCCTTTTGAGTTGATATCTTGCAATGTGCGTACATTGGCCATATGGTTTTTTCATATATATGAAAAAAAAATCAATACCGGTATCTGAAAATATTAATAATAGATTTATGTTTAAACATAACAAATTATAGTGAGATATGATGAAATATAATGGAACATATGAAAACATTTCAGAACATTTCGAAACTTTTCTGTATGTGTCACAATGTATAAAGTGCAAGAGATAAATATTTCGGAACATTTCGAAACTTTTCTGTATGCGTCATAATGTATTTTGAAAGATAAATATTTTGAAACATTTCGAAACATTTCGAAACATTTCTTTATTTTTTAGCATTTTATACAAGCTTCGCTAAAATACTTCATTATGGGACGCATCCATAAAGAATACTATAGTGCAAATGCAAGATATCTATCCGATGAGGCAATCCAAGAGATTAAAGAGTCAATGGGTAAGGTACCTGATGCCGTAAATGTAATGGCAAGTAAATATCAAATAAATTACTATCGTGTCCTAGATTATATGGAAAATCGTGAACGCAAACAGCAAATGATATACCCCCGATCAACTCGGACACGAAATGCCATTTCTCCTGAAATAGTATCTATGCCTGAAAATAAATACTTGTCAAATACCGCTTTTCATCTTGAATCCCAGCATCAAAATAATATCCCAGACGGGCAGATAAAAAAAAGGAGATCCAAATCCAAATCCGTTCGCGTATCTGATCCGCCTTCTGATAGTAAAAATTTGACAGAAAAAATAGGTGGTAACTCACAAAGTTCGGTCGTTTCTACTACAGATGTATTTACTCGCCTTGAACAAGAATTAAAAAGAAAAGATAAGAACCTATCCATTAGTGCACGTTTACTTTCTACTGCCTAATCCATCTTTTCTTTATTCGTAACAGACTCGAGGAGCTTTTCATACTTTGTTTGTAGAATCTCATTTCGATCATTAAGTTCAGTAATTCCTTTGAGAACGTCATATAATATTTTTTCGAGTTCCTCATAACTCATACGGTTTTTTTTAATTCTGTATCTGTCTCTTCGGAAATAGATGGAATTGCATTAACATGATGTACCTCAATCTTATTTTCAACCTTGTGCATCGTAACTGGAATGTAAAAATCTTTTCCATTGCAATGAAGCTTCATTTCGGATTTAGGCCAATTCATTATACATTCATGTTTTTCAAGGAAGGGATTACTCAATATAACCATAGACTTGTCATATTCAATGACTGCAAAATCTAAATGAAATGCACAACCAGGAGCTAGGGTTAATGGTACGTTATAAACCATTCCAATAGATTTGGTTAGGACAGTGGCCGCCCCCTTGAAATAAAACACCGCACTTTTATCGATTTTTAAACCCAAGCGTTCAGCAATGTCCTTAGACATAAGTAAAGTATTTGAGCCAGGATCGACTGTAATGGCTGAGAGAACTAAACGTTTGATTTTACCCCTTATAGTTGGAACATCTATTACATCTTTATCCCAAACAAAGTTAATTTCCATATCTTTGATGACTTCTTCATCCTTGGTATCTTCGATTTGTTGAGAAGAAGTGTCACTTGTGGTACTAGATTTCTGAAAATTTTGTAAGATTTTACTTATAGCCTCCTCTAATAAAGTGGAATTTACAAGCTCACTTTGAATTATTTCACGCATTCGTCTCTCTAGTAAAGTCAAAGTGGGATTTTGTGATCCTTGAAGAGGGATGAGTTGAAGACTCGAAGCTTTGCTTCCTCGATTCTCCTTACCCTCTGAAAAATATGCACATTCCTTGTCTTTGGATCGGGATTGTTTTCTTAATGAGTACTCTAGGTCGATCTATTTTTTTTTAATCCTGGATACATTAACATTGGATTCCTCATCAGGTGCATCATCATCAATTCCGTCATAACCCTCTTGATCAGAAATAGCGGATTCGTCAGGAATTTCTTCTATATCAGAGTGGCTTTGTTGGAACCCATCAGCAAAATTCACACAACCGATTTTTTTCTTGGAATTATTAGCCATCATATTCTTAATTATGGGACAACTGCGATAAGTATGTCCCAGCTTTTTGCAAATCTCACATTTGCGCTGGATCGGCCTAGTACTTACTCTAGGATCTCTAGCCAGATTTACTGATGAATTGGGGGAGTTAGGCAATCCCTCAAGTTGATCTAATTTACCCGCAATATTGACTATCGCGTAATCAATTTCCATCGGTTCTAGTACTCTGTTATCTTCGGTTTCGAGACCCATTTCCGCATAATTCCTTAACTC